ATATATATACATATATAGATATATCTACATATATAGATATATCTACATCTGTAAATAGAAATGACAAGGTAGACATTAATAGAGCTTTTAAAGTGCTGGTCTTTTTTAAGAAGAAAACCTCAGATATGCTACCCCTTTATCTGACCCACATATGAAGGCTGATTCCAGTATATGAATGAGAGAAGAATGTTATCTGCACCCATATGTCAAATCTATTACCAAACCATCCAGAATGCTTTTGATTTTGGGCAGAAGCACATGGGGGCGGATACCTGTATGTTCTTAATTCAGCAAATATTTGTATGTCTAGTGATTGAAAACATTGATGCACAGGTTATGAGTCACCATTCACTATTGTGTAAATACTCATTCTCTGAAAACAAAAATTTCTTCTTTGGAAAAACCAAGATCTTCTAAAGACCTGCAACAATGTAAATAAGGAAATTTAAATTGAGAATACATTATGCATACATGTTACATACATTAACCAGTAATTTAACATATGAGTAAACCTGCACATCCACTAGTATAACAAATTATCTTAAATCACCACTCCAGACAGCATACAAAAAATGACCCTGGGCTTCTGTTGGGCTTCCTTACACTTACAGGTTTATTCACAAAAGGGTTTGGAGAAGGCACTTACACCCCGATACTGGAACTTCTGGTCAGAGGGAGATTTCCCTCTGACTGGTATTTGCACAAGGGAACAGGTCATAACCCGCTGCCTGGCTTCCTGATTGAAGCCCGGCTTCCTGGCTACTTATTGACCAATCAGGAAGCCGGGCGGTACATCATGACCCACCTCCCGGCTTCCTGATTGTTCAGGAAGTAAGGCTGCCTCGCATCATGAAGCCGGATTCCTAGCCAATCGGGAAAACGGGAGCAGGTCGTGACGTGCCGCCTGGCTTACTGATTGGCTAGGAAGCCAGCTTCACTTGTTGCTAGGCAGCATGGCTTACTGACCAATCAGGAAGCTGGGTGGTAGGTCATGACGTGCCATCCAGCTTCCTGATTGGTCAGGAAGCCAGGCTGCCTAGCAATAAGTGAAGCCCGCTTTCTAGCCAATCAGGAAGGTCGTGCAGCACATCATGACCCGTCTCCCGGCTTCCTGATTGGCTAGGAAGCCGCCTTCACTTGTCGCTGACCGGCTGCTTGGTTTCCTGATTTGTCAGGAAGCCAGGCTGCATCCCTAGTCATTACATTCAATTACACGAAGACGGTGTGTAAGATAATATATAAAATAAGTCTTTTGTATCCATCTTTTTTTTATATGTAGCCATTTTGTCTCTTCTTCTAACAAGAACAACCTTGTGTAACCTTTTTAAAGAGTTAAAGAGTTTTGCATTTCAGTTTCCGTAGACAACTAATTGGTTATCCTTGAAAGTCTTCTTAAAGATCAGGTCTAATGCATGCACAGTCAGGACCAAATTAATTAGCAGAAACATAACACCTCTCTCTGGGCAGGGTAATAACACCTCCTAGCTCCAATTATGCAAATGCAATCAACACCTGCTTGTGATTTACAGATTATGTGGATTGGAGCGAAATTCACCATATTTATTCCCAGATAATTTTTTGTACAAGTCATTCTGAATTGAGAAAGCTGGTTGGATGTCCAGTGAAATGTGTTCAAGAAAAAATACAGCAAGTCCAGTTGCCTTGACTTATTTTTTACAGATATACCATGTGACCTGGATGAATGAGAACCTTCACAGACAATTAGCAGAAACATATTTAAAGCTAGGAGTTCACCTATTAAAGCAGAAATTGTTATTCTGGTACTTGTGATGTGCCAGTCTTGATTCCTCATGTGTGATTACACAAAGGGCTATCTTTATACAACAAACAATCTGTCAAAGACAACGGTGAGGTAAGAGGAGAGGTTATATGGCCAGAGGTCACTGTGTCACCGAGGGGCAACAGCAAGGACAAACCAAGGTAAACCCATGACTCTTGCAAGGAGAGCAGTGTCAGGAAACTACTACATGCTAAAAGGCTAGAAGAGGCAGTGTGAGTGCGGACACGACACACCTATGAGTGATGCAGCACTTAGTTCTCCAGCATTTTAACACTTTCGGGGAAATAACAGGAGAAATGTGGTAATAAGCCATGATCATACTGGGACAACTCCCAAAACTTACCATGGTTGCAGGTCTGGAAAGTGTTCTGTAGCTAACAAACACTTTAACCTCCCTGGCGGTATTCCCAAGTCTGGCTCGGGGTGAATTTTCCATACCAGGAGCGGTAACCCCGAGCCAGACTCGGGGCTGCAGAGAAAAGTGACACTTACCTTGTCCCTGCGAGCGCGCGGCGTCCTCTGCTGTACGCGGCCCGAAAATGAAACTAAAAGTCAGATGCCGGCATCTAACTTTTAGTTTCGTTTTCGGGCATCACAGCCGGCGGGAAATTCAAAAGTGAAAAGTTGCATGTACACAGAATACACACAATACAATGTAATCTCCTATGATTACACTTATGTGTCAAACTATTTCACTTCAATTTTGTCCCTAGAGCTTTGTCCAGTGCCCTGCCTGACACTTTTTCACAATTTTAAGAAATAAAAATATAATAAATAATTATAATAAAATAATTAAGTACTGAAGAGCACCACATGCAGTTTCCAATCAAAATGTCACATTCCAGGCAATCTTTGCCCTTATTGCAGGTATACTCTGAAGGTTTTCAGAGATCAAGATCACGGCCCTAGACTGTAAAGTAAACTGCTGCTAATAGACCAGTACACCAAGTGTTTGGGGACGGCCACATGCAGAGCTCAGTGCTGAAAGGTCACATCACAGACTAGTCCTGCAATTTTCATTTGGGTGGGATCCAAGTGTAGCCTCTAAGGCTCTTCTGACAGTTATTCCATTATCCATTGGATCAGGTACTATATTATGTGCATCAATATATGCAGTGTAAATAACCTTACACATGCGCAGATAAAAAAAAAGGAGGGAGCTCTGAGGACTCCTAGAGATATTAGACATAATTTGGCAACTGGATCATTAATCTAATCTATAAATGGGCAGTCTAATAAATAGATTATTGGTTATTGTCTGCATATGTTAAACCAGGTATTTTTATATATCACTAGTATCTAGTTATATATTTATCAATTCTATTTTCACACAAATAGTCTTGAGCTTACCTTTCTGCTTGCTCAACAAATCCATTTGGTCCACAAATGCAAATAAGAATTGTGGAATCATCTTTACTTCTTTGAATGGTCTCTGAAAGAAATGATGTTGATATTTTCCCTTTGCACCCTGTCCATGAATCACTTGGTTCTGAGAGTACAAACTGTGATTCAAACCTGTGAAAAAGAACAAACTGGTTATAACAGGCTACATATACACACACTACATATTCCAGAAACCCCCTAGAAAACCAGGTTGGATTCTTAAGCAAGAGAAAACTGGATACATGGGAGTAAAGATATATACAAGCCTTCATAACCACATTATAATTCAGAACATCACTTTACTCACCTCCATATCTCTGTATTGTAAAAGAAAGTTAACTTGTATTTCTGGAGTGTTGTTTATAAACGACACTTTAGATCAGTGGTTCTCAATCTGTGCAACCTCAGGACCCACATTTGTATTTGGCCATTAAGTCGTGACCCAAGTCGCACCGCACTGGAACGTACGCCATTGCGGTACCGTGCGTTCTGGGGTGGGCAATCGAACTGTGGGTGGGAGGTGCGTTTGCAACACACCTCCCACACCAGAACGTGCGATAGATGCAAGTGCATGGTAAGTTGCGTTAAGCGCACGGGACTGTGTGATTAATGCACTGTACTAGTGTGAACGGGCCCTCAAAAACACTGACAGACACACAGAACCACAGACACAATCTCACACACTCACAGACATTCTCACACACACACTTTTATTTTTGTTCATTTTTTAAGGTCCGCCCAGTCTCCCTACCTTATGAGAACTGGAGTGGATCCCCAGCCTGGGGTCTAGTGTGGGATGCTCTGCTGAGATGGAGCTCCGTCTAGAAGTGCATTGCTGGTATAGCTCCCTTGCGTGCCGTAACGTTGTGCCAGAATTTGCCGCTACTCTGGTCTAGGCACCTTTACAGGGAACGTGAGGGAGCTGTAAGCAATGCACATATGGATGGAGCTCCCTCGCAGCCAAAGCCCTATCCCACCCAACCTCAAGCTGACACTCGGCATCGGGCAGCATATTCTGAATGGCTGCTCGGTGCGAGAACTGACACTGCTGCTCTAGGGGGAGGCTGAGGAGCCTCTCACCTAGAAAAGTGGAAGGCATGCAGTGACCCACTGGACAAGGGATCGTGACCCACCAGTTAAGAACCAAGGCTTTAAATCACACACTTAGGCAGCCAATGCACTTTGAATGGCTGTAATCTAAGCTGTCATGGTCAAATCACAGTCATGATGTACCTAGTTACTCATATTGCATATGTTTACAAACATTCAGCCCATTCACCAAGGAGGGAGCGCCCCTTCCTCCCTTGTAAATGGCCTGAAGCTCAGAGTGTCCCCAGTCTTTCTATGGGGACATGCAGTTTCCTGTCACTTTGAAATGGAGATCGAAACCTGCAAAAGCCTGCTACACAGACACATCTAAAACGTAAAAAATATAAATATATATTTTTAATTTGAGGTATGTTCTGTGAATAGGAACATACAACAAACATATACTGTACTGTGATGGCAGAACTTAGTTGTAAAAACTAGATCTGAACATTGTCTATGCTAAAAAAGGGTTAAAGATCTAGAAACATTGGGGGAACTCATTTAAGAAGAACAGGGTTTTTTTGCATCTATGACAAATAGAGTAAATAGCCCCAGATTCACCCTTTGTGAATCTGTCTTAAACTGAAAGTACTGGTGCAACCAGTCAATATTAAAATTGGAATATCTACTAGTAAAATAGTACCTTTTATAATGTCAATTGTCAGGAGAAATTACATTAATTCTAATAATACAAATAATTTGATAAAATGTAGAACATAAATAAATATGCAATTTTATAACAAGTGTTAGACACAAATGATTATAAATGGTGTATTAAAAGAGATCTATGGGGGTAAGTGTTTTCCCCCATAGCTCTCTTAAGGGTCACGGGAGGACATATACTAGCATCCTTCCGTGACCCAAAGCTCAGTATCTTGTGTGGCAATCAGTCTTTTGTGTGTGTATATATATATAATGTTGATGGTGTAAACTTTGAAATGTTCACTTTAAGCCTGATGAAGGGGACCGTGTGCGGCCCCGGAAGCGCTTGATTCCACTTTGAGTGACTTAAAAAAATAAAAACGAAGATTCACTAAAACTTTGACGTATTCTGTCATATTTGGAGTGCTGGTGACATCTATACACAACGATTTTACTTGATACGGCGCCATCCGTAGTCATTGCGAGCACCCATATTTTCATATGGGAAGTCCGGTAAGGTGTGCTACAAGTCCTTGGACAATTCCAAAGCTCAGTATATCGCGAGCCACAGCTCGCGGTATACTGGGACCGCCGCAGCCGGGACGGATCCCGACATTACTGTCGAGATCCACCCAGCTATCTAGAGGCAGAGCCAGCTGTACCCGCGCCCTCCCCCGTCCGTCCCGCCAGTCAGCACTGGAGGATCGGAGCGGGGATCCCTGCAGGGAGCTGTGAGTGACAGTCATGGTTCCTTGCAGGGAGATGATCAAGAAGTGAGCGAGTGACGGTATGTGCGCTCACTTCCCGATCTATTGAGACGACGTGTGACAGTTTCATTGTCGCATGTCGGCTCAAACTATGAGGATGAGTGATATTTCACTCACCTCATAGTTCTCCTTTAAATAAAGGCAACCTTTTATCATTTTATCTTTCAAATGTTCAAAATTCACTTTCTAATTACAATATTAAGCCAGTAAGTGTGGTTGTGTGATAGTTGGTCCTATCAGACTCCAGTTTCCTAATAAGAAAAGTGTCTGAACAGCTTTGTGAATTCCGATTTTCAGCTCTCACTGACGATAGGAACAGGTGCTAATAAGCGTTATGTGAATTTGGTTTGTGTGGTGCAAGGTACAAGAAAACACGTTTTAAGCAATAATGAATTAGGTGCACAGGTAACATGTAGATGAATAACTCCAGGTTTCTGAAGTAAATGCGATTGTGAATTTCCCTGACTACAAAGGTGGAAACACACTTTAAGTTCAGCTTCAAGTAACCCCCTAATATGCAGCCCTGAATTTAACCCTAAAAGTTACACGAAACCTCCAACCTTGACCCTAACACTAATGTAAAGTAACCCATTCTGCATCATATAATCACCCTGTGCTTTTTCACCAAAGGCTAAACTTAAGCGCACCAAGAGATTGCTGAAAGGGCAACTGTCATCTTCCCTCTATGGGTGCAACACTAAGAAACAGGTAATGAACAAATAAAGCTTCTCCCAAGTAAACAGAGCATCGGTGGACATGCACTTTAGTAACTTGCCCTCATAAAACATAATACAGGAAAGAGAGTATCTTGGGGTTATTTCATATGCCTCGCCAGATAATATAAATAATTATTTGTACATAAACAAGGCTGTAATGTCTCAATACTTAAAGCAATAATTTGCAATCATTCAATTAACAAAAACTCAGTATTATTATTAATTTATGGCTAATATGTTTATTACAAACAACCAGCACACTGTCAGTTACAAACTTTCAAGCCTGGCCTGAAAACCTGAATACAGTTTCCTGTCAACAACAACTTTTTCATATAGTAAAAAAAATCAGTTGCGAGTCAAAAATTACTTCAAAGTCCTCCGAAGCCCCTTTATCCTCTATATCACTCCCACTTCTGTTAGCTAAAGTGAAGGACCAGATGTATGTGAGGCAAAGACTGATTAGCTACCTCTGCCCGAGCAGCCAGTCATAGCCTCTACCTCACACAGAACATACTCTCTGCCATGGCTAACATACAGAAATGTAGATGAGGCAAAGCCACAGGGATTTCATGAGGCCCTGCTCTAAGAGAGAAGAAAGTATTTGGGGGATCAGGGACCTTTTTTGGCAGCTGCAGGTGGATCCAGTGTACCTATATGCAAATTTTAACTTCAGGTCTGGAAACAGGAAATAATATTGTCTACCTTCTGTCGGTTGAAGACAACTTCTCCAACTGTTCTCTCCACAGAATATCATGTTCTGTTTTATTGAAGAATATCAATTTGACTTTTCTGCTGGTACAAAATCACAAAGTTAAAAGAGTTACTGCTACCTTAAACTACACAGTGGTTTCTTCAGTTAGGTGAATCTTCATTTGATCATACCCCTGTGAAGTCAGTGTATGGCCAATCTTAATGCTGAAATGCAGACAGATGCAAAAAAATAACAATTAGGTCCCATTTACACTTGTGATTGGGGCCAATTCGGTGCTCTCACAAACGGCTCTGCGAGAGGCATGTGAATAGCTCCGGGAAATACTATACAAAGCAATGACTGCTGACAGCACCCACAGTCGTTCACATGTAATCAGACATGCTTTGGCTACCAGCGGATGAACGTCCCTACATGTCTAATTACATGCATAGGGCTGCAGAACTGTCAGCCTTCCTTGCTTTGTATAACGCTTTGCATGAGTCTCATGGAACAATCTGTGAGACTCACCCAATCAGCCCCAATCGCAAGTGTAAATGTAGCCTAAAGAGGAACATCAAACTTATCTTAAAAATTACAACAAATACACCTTTAGAAATGTTAAGTAATGACAAACAAATACTTATAGATAATTGTAGGCTTTTTATTATTTACATCTATCTCCCTTACCTACAGGAACTCTGGCACATGTGACTGGAACATGTGTGCAATGCACATCATCTGAGGGGAAAATGCCTTTCCCAAAAATCTTGGGAGATTTTGCAGTTTACAGATGAGATTTCCCAACAATGAAGTGCTGATGCAACCTTCCCAGGATTCATCTGTGAGGCCAGGGCTACATCACTAATGCCTAAGAGGACCAGGAATTGGAAAATCAATAATTGTAGGTAAAAGCCAAATATTTTTGTTGACCTAATGAATGTAAGATGATTTCATATCAGCACGAAGGGCTACGTGCTTGGGTGATTTTCAGTGGAAGGGGGTAAAGGTCCGCTTTAAGGTATGTATATCGGCAGAGACGTACAGTATTTCTTGTTGTTCGTAACTATTGTAAGTACCTAAATCTGTCTAGATATCAACCTCCTGTAATTCCTTGTACAGAAAATGAATGGTAACATGCAGGGGCGTAGCTAGAAATCAACCTTAATCATTAATTGTATTAACTGTAATAATTAATTAATCATAGAGAAAGAATTAGTACTGTACTGAAAAAATCTGCAGAAAGGTCCAGAGACAGAATGATTACTGTACTGGCACAAGCAGAAAGAAGCCTGCAGATACAATTAGTGCCTCATTGCAATCAGTGCTAATAGAAACATGTTCACAGAGACATCTGCTAGGGATGACCCTTACACAAAACAGTTGCTTCCATTGCCGGGCTAAGAATGTTGTGCAGCGTCAAATGGATACATAAAGTACTGAGCATTTGACATCTCTATCCTCATGACAACAGCAATCTGCATTAAATGGCATCATATGTTTTAGCAAGCACAACAAAGAGGTTCCTTTTTTCCCGCCTGCAGCTCACACCTGCTACTGCCTAATGTAATCAACCTCCCATTTACAGTACAAACTGCCAGACTGCTAAAGCAACATTGTGCTTCGGCTCTTTGCAGATAAATGAACAGTTATAGCTTACCAATGCCTTTCAATGAGAACAATCAGATTAAACATTGCTGTATTTGAATTATTCTGAACGGGATCAGGTTTGATTTCAAACAGCTATTAAGGATTTCTATTATTTGAACAGATACGTAAATTGGTTGGTACTTGGTTAATGTCAGGCGGTTATGAGCACAATGGTTCTTAACTGTGATAATGAATTACCTTTTTTTGAATCACTTTGCTGTTCTTAATATAAACAAAAATTAAAGTATTTAGAAGTGTCTTTAAACAGTATTTAACCTTAATCAACCTTAATTTAAATCAAAAGACAAAACAGAATTCCAGGCAAATCAAATCTTAACACTTGCAATGCGGGGGTAGACCCACTCTGGTCCCAGAACGCCTGAATGGAGTACAGGAGCGCAGGAACAAGTTCCGGATGCAGATGATTCTGCCAGGAACAGTCTCTGTGATGCTGGTAGACCCTTGGGAGGTGCAGGCACAGAAGAGAGGCACTTCGAGGAGTGGGTCTTCAGGCAATCCTTAGTCGAGACAGGCAGAGTTGTTAACAGGCGGGCAGTGAGGTACCAGGCGAAAGGTAGGTAAGTAGTCAGGAACAGGCCGAAGTCAATAACGTGCGGTCAGAGTAGTACAAGGCATAAGGCAGAAATGGTGGTCAGTAAAGCAAGACCAGGTCTCAGATCAGATTTATTGAAAGTTCATGCCATCCAAGTACACACTGGCCAGCATGTTGACTAGGTCAGTGGTTCTCAACCACCAAGCCGAGGCCAATTGCTGGGCTGAAACTCACTCCTCGCCAGACCGTGGGTTCCATCCTGCTAGTGCAGGGTACCGCTGTATATTACAGATGCAGCAAATGGTGTTAGTGCAGCTTGTTTCCATGCGCGGGCAATGCAGTATATTACAGAAGCAGCACACACATACCGTATATACTCGAGTATAAGCCGTCCCGAATAAAAGCCGAGTCACTGCTGCTTACTAATGTAACATGGCCCTATTAGAAGGGGAGGAAGTGTGGCTGGAAGTGCACACAGGAGGGAAGGGCTCTCCAGACACTTGGAGGAGTCTTGGGTGCTTTGCTGCTGACTCAGGAGTGGGCTGATCCCTCCTTAAATGTATACACAGCTCGCTGCTCACACTCCACTAAAATGAGATGGAGAAGTGACAGCAAGTAGGAGGAACAGAGCCCTCTTCTGACAGAACAAGATGTGGCTCAGGACAGTGGCCAGTATTAAAACTATCTCCCCCGCCCCCCTTCAAAAGGAAAAAGCCTAAAGATCAGTGTATGTATTAACGTATTTGTGTGCGAAATGTATAATGCGAGTGGGCTCAGAACTTTTTTAACCACACCCCTTTAAGTCACGCCTAATATTCAGCACAATGCACCTATGTCTGCCTTTTCCTGCAGCATGCTGCATAAGCCACGTTTTAGCTTTGTATTCATACTGTATGTCCCTCTTTCTTATGTTCTAAAGTTGGCAGGTAATGTATGTGATATTGTAAAGTTGGGAGGTAATGTATGTGATATTGTGACTGTATTTAGCTCTTACTGGCTGATATAATTGCAGTTTTAGGAGTATGAACTTTTTTCTGTTTTACTGTTGGGGCATGGAAGATTTGGGAAACACGTACTGGGCCCTGGTCTTATTAAGGTTTAGAACCACTGGACTAGGTAATTAGAGGGTTGGCACAAAGCCTTGGTTTCTCCTGCATTCTTGTAAGATTAGTTACAGTTTCCCTTATTTTGAACAGAATACATAATCCAGGCAGTGATTGCTGGTTAGGGAGAGCGCAGATAAAAAAAAAATGTCTGCATTTATTAAGAAATCCTTAAGTTAAGAGATGTTTAAAGTGTATTTCCACTTTTGCAGCTAAATTAGGATAACACCTATTTTATATTTGTTACATGTTTTCATTCACATAGCATACGCTAAAACAAATAAAAAAAATGCTTCTTACAGTTTAAATTGCTTTTACTTGGGTTCGGATTTTAAGGGTTAACATTTCTTCTAGCTTCTATTTCTTTGAAATGTTACATAGTTATAGTATTTGAGGTTGAAAAAAGACACAAGTCCATCAAGTTCAACCTTTGAGTGTGTATAAGAGTCCCTGTGTGGTCTAGTATTTAAGTGTACCCGTACCCCTGTATGTTACGGTCTCTTAGGAGGGGCTGTGAGGGCTCTGAGGTGGCTTGTCCATTGTATGTTAATGAAGCTTATCAGATAAACACAATCCTCAAATGTCAGTCCCAAGTCTTTCCATTAGGACAGACCACGGTGAAAGGCTTAGAGAAACCTGGAATCAGCCATCTTTCCTGATTTACCAAAACACCTAAAAGGTAAGAATTTTTTTAAAGTTATTTTTCAGTATGCTGTGTGAATAGGAACACATAACAAACATATAGAGGGGTTTTTATCGAATTTAACTGCAAAAGTGGAAATACACTTTAAAATGATTTACTCTAACTACTCTTTGGAACTGAAATGTTACAGATTCATGCAGACTAGCAGGATATTTAGTGTTACTTGTGCACCTTTAAATTGCTCAAAAGCATCTTAAATACACCTTAAATATGATAAGATAATATGCAGTTACCTATAAAATCAAAATGTGTACCGTACATGATTTAAGACCTACCTTAGGATGTTGGAGTGATTTAAAACATGTCTCAGTAATTTCACAGTTGGTGTGAAACCAGTTCCAGCTACCAGAAGAAAAATATCCTCAACTTCATCAACTTGAGAAGTGCTAAAACATCCTTGTGGGTTGCTCATTAGGATAAAGTCACCTGTGACAATAAAACAGTCTAATAAAGAATAATTATAGGCTTTTTAAAGAAATACTCCTCCATAATGTAAAAATTGTATTCTGTGTACTATGTGCACATGGTATTATATGTACTATGTGCATATGTGTAAAGTTGGCCATACACTTGGCATCTTTTGGCGAGAAAAAACAATAAACATGGATGGGGGAATTTCCCCTGCCAGGCTACTGTATTCACAAGCGGGCCTCCGCAGTTGTCAATTTTTTTTGCACAACTCCTTCGACAAAAGTAAGCATCAAAAACTCAAGTAAGCAAGCAAAATGCCTTTCTCAATTTTAAAGTAGAATTAAACTCATCAAAAAAGAATACATAGTTTTGCAGAGCATTGTAATTAAACTAGAACTGCATTATTTTTTGTTAAAAAAATACAGTTTAACCCTTACTTACTAATGTTTACTCTCCTTACACTGTGCACATCCCACTGTAAACACTTCATATGAACTTACTGTGGATACATTGGGGGGTATTTATCAAAATTGGAGCAGACAAAATCTGGAGCAGATTTGCACTATAGCCAAACATTTTCTGTGTCTCATTTTCAAATCTTACCTGAGCAAACTGAAGAGAGGTGCTGATTGGTTGCAATAGGCAACTGCTCCAGATTCTGTTTGCTCCAGTTTTGATAAATCCCCCCCGTACTGCTCTACTGGCAGCTGGACCTCAGTTTTTTTTTTACTGCAGAATATGTAATTGGACTGTGTGTCGATACGGCTGCTCATGGTCCAATTCGGGAGTATGCGGGAGAGGCTGACAATGGTGCAAATTAACTGAATAAGCATACTCACCCTAGGAAAGGCCTGTGGATACACCTTGTTGGTATAATTGATCAACACCCACTTTTTCTCCTCCAATCACTTCAGTTTTTAATGGACAATAATGTGGTAACCCTGTCTGTTATTTCCAGTATGCCTCTAACTGCCTCCTCCTGTCCTCCCTCATGCATCTTCCCAGCTTGACAAAACAAGATTGTTGTACTAACTGTAGAATCCGATTCTTGGGAGTTCATTAAGGGACACAGGGTTTAATTGTTCTGAGAAAAATGGGTTATACTGCCCCCTAATGGAGGATATATACAATGGCAAACAAAAAGCCGTTTCCCATGATCCCTGTGTGTGTTGTAAAGTAGCCACCACTCCATGGTCTCTCCCGTGTTGTCCTACAATTGCAATACAAATTAGTAAACTAAACGTGAGATTGTAGTCCATCGTGGGAGTGAGCTTGGAGCGGTGGCTACTTTACAACACACACAGGGACCATGGGGAACAAAAGTAGCCACCCTCCAGAAGGAAGGACAGTGTGAGCATGAATTCAGAGATGATTTGAGGATCTACAGCAGAGTGAGAACAAGGAGGGTGTGGATTAGCCGCTGCCATAGTCGGAGGATAAGCCCTGTCCACCACCCAAACAGAGTTGCGTGAAGGGAGAGAGGAGACAGTGGCCAGACAGCAGAAGCAGTACTGTGGGAAGTGAGGCAGGGACTAGCAGCTATGAGAAGTGTGCACTAGGAGTACTGCTTGGTTCTTTTGTGGCCAGAAACTGTGGGAACAGAGTAAGCCCAGGACAGGGCCAGGGCCAGTATTTTAGGGAGCCAAGGGCAATGTGTTGATTACTCTGCTGCTGCCCAGAGAATGTAGGAAGAACAAAGCTGCAGACAGGACTTTGCTGCCAGGAAAGACTACAGTGCTGCAGCTGCTGAGACTTGCCAGTGCCACATGGCTGCTGTGTGCAGATGCTGCTGCCCAGAGAGTAGGCCATAGTTCTAGTATCCTGCTGTTTCAGATGTCTATGAAGGTTGTCATTCATCCAGGTCATGGTATATCTGTAAAAAAATGAAGGCAACTGGACTTGCTGCATTCTTCTTGAAGACGTTTTGTTGGTCATCCGACTAGCTTTCTCAAGGCAGAATTCTGAATTGAGAAAGCTAGTCGGGTGACCAGTGAAACGTCTTCAAGAAAATGACAGCAAGTCCAGTTGCCTTGATTCCTTTTTTACAGATATCTGCTGTTCCAGAGTGTTTTACTATTCAAGAATAGTACTGCTATTGCAGTATCAAGCTGCCAGGAGGGGTTGAACTGCAAAGGGACTGTTCGTGCAGAATTCCGGTGGCAGAGCAACATAGGGCATAGACACTCAATGGAGATCACTGTCCATTTTAATCCACTCAAGGGCTGCCATTTGTTCTTCTTCACTACCACCATGAGTGGGAGAGTAGTTCCAGGACAGACAGCGTCCGGAAGGGACTTCATCGTTGTTGCAGTTTGGTCAGAGGCTTTTTAGCCACTTAAATTGTTGACCTTAACCTGAGTGCTCCACTGAGATCAGATTCACTGGCCTGTGATTAGGTATGGCCTTGAAGCACCAGTTAGGCTGCCCGATTGTCAGTGCTGTGTTAAACACTGCTCTAGTAGAAAATTGGACAGTGGCCAGACAGCAGACAGACTATGAATAGTCTTAAAGTTCCTTCATCCAACCACCCTTGCATCCATGCCCATGTCACTGATATTATTATCTTTAGAAGAATAAAGCATAAGACTCTTACCTATTTGCATGTTGTCAAGCATGGGTGTGAAACTTCCATTTGGGTAGATTTTGATCATTATATAGACGCACTTTTCATTATTGTGAGATGTTTGTTGTTGATCTGACTCTAAGGTCTGGGAAACTGGTGTATATGGTTTAACCACGTCCACACCTAAAACAAATGGTTATATTTGTTTAATATGTGGTTCAGAATTTAGTTACACATTTAGTTTATGCAAATACAACAAAGCAACCCCTCTATGCCAAAAAGCAGCCAGAGATGTCAAAATGCTTTCCATAGACAAGTACAATGAGGACTGCTGGAGTGTGTATGTGTAAGCACTAGCTTATTTGGGAGGAAATTGATAAGAGCTCAGCAGGAAAAATCAATCCAGTTACACTATGCAATCTGATTTATATCTACCAACAACTACAAAGCACAAAGGCCTGCCTGAGTGGACACAAACTGAATGCATTGTTAAGGTATGTCTTTGTATTATGTAGTTTTTTTTTCAATTTCAACGTTTTTATTGAATTTTAACAATGTACCGTATTTTTCCGTCTATAAGACGCCCCCATGTATAAGACGCCCCCAACTTTTCTTACCCAAAATTCAGAAGTCAATATTTTAAATGATATTATGCATCACACTTACCTCTGAGCCAATCACTTTATTCAGCCTCTGTTGCATCACTGGTTTCTTCATCACTTTTAGCTTCAAACATATCAGTTTCTTCAACTTCTGCTGCATCACTGCTGTCTGCTGAGTCACTGTCTATATATACAAGATCATCCTCAGTTCCGTCCCTGGCATTGCTGATTCCACATTTCTTGAAGGACTTCACAATCACCTCTTGTTCGACACCATACCATGAGTTTAGAGAGTTTACAGGTTGTTTTTCACTTTGACATTTTTATGGACACAGAATGCTCAGACATTACTGCTCAGACATCAAAAGATTTATGACTGGAGGAGAACTGTTATGTTGTCTCTGCAATCCGTGAGGCTAGTTTGCAGTGGTATCTGCACTTTCAAAACCGCGGCCCCCGTGTATAAGACGCACCTCTATTTTTAGATAAAGATTTTTATGAAAAAGTAGCGTCTTATACACGGAAAAATACGGTATATCATATAAAGTACAGTAAACAATACTGTGATGCATATAATGGAGAAGTATGGAGATTACAGGTCTTCTGAAGCGGTCAGGTTTAGTGGTCTCAGGATCTCGGGGTTTCTTGAAACAGGAGAATATCAAGAGAAAAGAGGGACAGCCCGGATAAGGGAATCCGGAGAACTGTGGTCCGTATTATGTCGTTTTTAAGTAAATTTTAAGGTGTATAGAAGATGTAAAATCAAAGTGTACAGTGTATGGCCAGATCAGATAGCCAAAACATTTCTGCAGATGTCGCAAACCACAAGTTTGTTTACTTTTCTGAACATAATCAGTTAAATGGAGCAGTGATTACCTTTGGGCACATTAAATTAACTTTCCCAAACACGATTGTTACACAGATATGACAAAGATTTGAGCAATGCTAGAGATAAAAAAAGACAAGAAAAACTGGAAGTACTGGCCAAAGAAACATTCATGTATACTGGAAAATGGTTGCTGAAATGTAAAATAAAAAGAAAACACTAATCTGTGAAAGCGAATATTATCTACAACTCCATTTCCAAAAAAGTTGGGAAACTGTGTAAAAATCTACATAAAAACAGAATGTAATGATTTGCAAATCTCATAAACCCAGATTTTATTCACAATAGAAAATAGAAAACATATCAAATGTTTAAACTGAGGAAATGTACCATTTTAAGAAAAAAATAAGGTAATTTTTAAATAAATGGCAATAGAAGCAGATCTCTAAAAAGTTAAGACAGAGCAACAAAAGGCTGGCAAAGTAATTGGTACTAACAAGGAAGAGCTAAACGCCAAGAGCCAAAGCTCATTTAAAATGGTCTTGAAGGCCAGCAGCTCCATATCTGGTGTCCCGTGTCTGTGACACCGGTCTTGTAACACCTCTGGGCTTAGAGACCACTCTCCCTAAAAACTGATGTACACCATCGCCGTGCAATTGTCTGACTGGATCTGGAATGAATGGCACAATAACAGGTCAGTCCAACGATGAAGAAATAGCTAAATTGTTTAAAGATCCAAGATGTTAATAGGGAAGAGGAGATTCTACCAAAGACCAAGTCCCCTGCAAAGATGGATGGCACAGAGCTCCTCCACACCCCAACAAGACAACATCCATTGTAAAACTTTTCCAAAGTACAGGAATTTTCCATAAGATGGAGATAGTCTGGTTCTTGGTGTTAAACAAAGCAGTCTGTCCAAAATCAAGAATAATTTGTCACATGAAGGCGGAATGTTGCCTTGCAGACTGGAGTGGAACTGATAAAATGGAACTGTTTCAAAAGAAGCTACAATCAATCCGAAGACTCTTTTGCAAAACTGAGACTCGGGCAGCTCCTGGATTGGAATGCATGAACCTGAGACTGGAGATTCTGATGTTTCCCCTGGTAAAGGAACACCTGATCCAATATGTTTTCAGGACAGGCCCCAGATACTAAAAGTGATGAGTTGAAACCAGATTGAGGATTCACCTGAACTAGTCTGAGAGACATTGTCCCCAGAGCCCTTGCCAAAAGTTTCTTCAAACAAGAGGAGGTCGCCCAAGAAGCCCACTATCTCAAGAGCACAAGATGTCCAACACTGGAGCCAGCATCTTGGTGAACAACTATGGTGCAGAGGAGAGGCTGAATGGAAGGGCCATGAACTGGCCAGACTTCAAAGCTGAGAAAGTACTGATACACTGGAAAGATGGAAACATATAAAATGTCCAACAAGGCCAGAAAGTCTCCCTGGTAAAAGGAAGGAAGGATGACAGATCTCAAAGTTTCACTGCAGAATTTTTCAGACTCAAAATGAGAGGATTTTAAACCTTAAGGTCTAGATTGAGTTACCCCCTTTTGGCATGGGAACAGTGAATAGTTTGGGGCCACCAAAACCAATCCATAGCAGAAACTGGGCAATGATCCCTTGGTCCAAGAGTCTGGAATGCCCGATGGAGATTGGCAAGGTGCTAAGGGAACAGGAGGGACTGGATGTTAGAAAGCAAGGACAGGGTAGAAAAAGATGCTTGAGTTAGACACCACCTCTTGCACCTAAGCAACCAGGATGCAAGTTTTCCAGGCGTCCGCATACAGACATCCATACATTCCAGAAAGTGAGAGCTCATCTTCATGTCGAGGAGGGCTTGCTGGTGGATTTCACAAATTAGTGTGTCAGGTCTTGCAGGTAGTTGGACAGCTCAGCTTGACAGGTCTTGACATGGAGGTAGATGTGATGCCTAAAGGATACTTCTGTGAAGTAACAGATGTAGATGACTTGTGGGTCTATGCCTTAGTCCTTTTCCACTGGGGGAGAGGATTACTCTAGCTCCCAGTAGAATTCATCAAGGGTGGAACCAAGAAGAAGATGTTATTCCACTAGGCCTGGCGCAGCAAATGCTCCTTGCAAGCGAGTTCCTCAATCCAGCACTTTAGCCACAAAGTCCTGTGCATATATATTGACAGGAAACTGTATATAGTTATATATTCTGCCCTTAAGAGACTACACCCAGGGAAGAAGTACGATCTACTTTATCACAGAACGGGCCTTCCATTCAGTCTACATGTGCAGCATTGGGAGGCTTGACTGGAAGGATTGTATGCCACCAATGTTGAAGGAAACACCAAAAAATCCTTTATAGCCAAACTTGCAGAAGATACAGGGCATATAAATGGACTCATGTAGGCCTAAATGTTAGCTGGTAAAAAGCAGAGTAAGACACAAGCAAATCGTATTGCTAATCTGTTACCTAATGTATTTTTGGTAGCAGGAGCAATTGCCATACACCATAGTGGGTATTGTGGATGCAGACAATTAGAACTTATATAGTTCTGCAAACCAACAGGATGTCTCAACACTGCCGCCTTCAAAGCTACTCATTTGTAACACAAACCCTGCTGACCAACACTGAATTTCTGCTGAAGCATTTTTTAAAATACCACATTCCTGGTATTCTATTGTCCAGGTTGGTGCTATACATACAAATCTTTAGGGATGCATCCACTGTAGACATCCTTCTGGATTATATTTAATGTTATTGTCAAAAACTATACAACGGTAACACACATGCTCTGTATACATAGTTAGGACTTCCTGCCCGTGTGATATTTCTTAAGTGCATACTGACATACAATATACTTTATATTACCTGAAATAGTTAAGTTGAGGTAAATATGGTATCCAACCGGAACTTCAAGATGACAGTCCTGAGGTAGCGCAAAGCAAAATAGCCTGGTATTATGACTGACATCCATTTTTGAAGTTAGCCTGCATTTCCTATAATAATGACCTAAAGGGAATATATTTGAAAGATGCATGAATGTCATATAGTTGTACAGCTGATAAAAAAAATACATGTCATCCAACACATAAAATAATACACCAAAGTAGTTCAAAGGTAAAATATTACTTTCTTGCCAATGGTTTGGGTTTAGGCTGCAAAATCATAAATAAAGAACAACAAATAAATTAATATTCCTAATATATTAAAGATAAATTCCAGTTAGCAGTAAAATGTTAGTAGTATGTGGTTTTTTTTGTGTAATAGCCCTTTAAGTCTAGAAGATACTTGCCTTAATGCAGCCTTCCTCCCTGCCATGCTGTGTGTCCTACAAAGATGCCCCTTTTCACCTGTCATCACGTACAATAACAGACCAGCAGTTAGGATGTAAAGGGCCCACATACATGATGGGAGCAGACCAGACCGGTGGAGAGCGCTTGGGTCTTGCTATTCTCAATTTTTGCCGTTGTGTGAGACTTGAAGGCAAAACATCTACCACAACCTCACCTTTTGTGCATAGTTATTCACTGCCCTATTTCCTCTACACAGCTGTGGCAGTTTCTATTTCAGTTATTCAGTTAGGATCAACCTACACATTATGTCATTGTTTGTTGTTTAAGTGACACCAAACTCAAGAGTTAAATCCTAAAAATGCATTCAAGTACCCTAACTACTAAACAAAATGTAACTTATTTGTGTATCACTCAGCTGAAGATCCTCAAATCATCTCTGAATTCATGCCGACTCCTTTCTTTCTGGAGGGTGGCTACTTTTGTGCACCAAAACACATGGTAACACAGTCTAACACACTAGCCGTTGTTGTAATGCACTGTTATGGAAAAACATGGTGCATGCCCATTTTTAGGTCAATTGTGGTGCACTGGCAGCCCATTAAAATTAATAGGCTGCCCTTATGCATCACACTTTAAAGCACGGCAACAGACTACCTGGATGTAAATGGGCCCTAATGCAAAAAAGGACTGTCATGGCCTTTTGCACAGTACAGTATGTGTGTGTATATATCATAATTATTCACCCCTTTGCTAGGAATTACAGCCTTGAGTTTGCATGGATAGATCTTTGTCAGCTTTGCACATTCCAATTTTGGACTTTGCCCTTTACAAAAAAGTAAACTTTACCAGGCTGTATGTGGATTATAATTAAATGGCTTTTTTTAAGTTCAGCCACAAATTATCTATTGGACTGAGATCTGGACTCCGACTTGGACATTTTAGGTAATTCTCATGCAGTTCTGACTTTATGGTGGCAGACATTGTCATGCTGGATAACAAATCCTCTTCCTAGGCTCTGGTTTCTTGCAGACTGTATCAGGTTTTCCTAAGAGCTTGCTGAATTAATTCTACTATCTAACCTCACAAGCCTTCCAGGGCCTTCTGCAGAGACACATCCCCACAGAATGAAGCAGCCAGCCCATAATTAATTGTGGGGATGGTGACTGAATACATTTGCATGCATAATTATTAGGAAAGTCAGTATTGTGACATTTTGTTTCTATAACTGTTTTCCAACTCGACATCATATAAAATCTTAATGCTTAATGGAGGAAACAATTTACAGTTAATATGTAATTGCTTAATGAGGGAGGGTGTGGCCTAAAGTATTTAAGACCTTGTATTTAGGTGTGGACAATTCATTAACTCAGGTAAAATTGGCCAAAAATAGAATTATCCAACACTCGAAAGACAAAAATTATAAAAGGCCTTTGAGACAGATGCAACATTCTGAAAATTACTAAAACAATGAGGTGTGACTACAGGACAATCAAATGTTTAGTTACAAATAGTCAAAAAGCAGAGTTGCAAGAACATTTAGGAGAAGAAAAAGCAAAAAAATTGCCCGCAATACACTTGAGAAAAATAAATATAAAACTATCAGGAAATCAAGGGCCTCCAATGCCACCAAATTCCAGATCTACATCCTATCTGAAATGTTCAGATGTAGAAGGTGTAAAGTATTTGGAGGCAATGCTAAGATAAACAAAACGCAACCACCACTGATTATTATTATTAAAATGTTGCAATGCCAAAATATACCTAAAGACTTTTACAAAGGTTTTATGGACAGATACAATGAGAATGACTCTTAATGGATCAAATGAGTTGGCTCATTTTAGGATAAAAACATAACTTAAAAATATCCCAGCCCACCCGCAACTTACTACATTGTCAAGTCTCTCTCTACGAGGGAGCTGAATCATATGTCCAGCTCTAAAATACATAGGCTTTTTACTTACAAAGCTCTAACAGTATATAGACATATATAGCAGGCACTAATTTTGTGAAATGAAAAAAAGATATGGTGGAGCCATCCTGAAAATTCAGATACGTCCGGGTATTGCTAAACATGTGACACCTCATGTCCTCCTAGAACGCAGTGCTTGGTGCCTGAGTGGCCAACTACCTTGCCCAAGTGCTGTCAGGCAACTGTTAAAGAGGAACTTTACCCATATTTTCAAAACAACAACAAATGTTTAGTAATGGCAATCTACAAACACATACTTATAGATCATGGCCGGCTTTGTATTCTTCGCATACCTTGTTTTTCTTTTCCTCTCCATTCTTCTCACAGTGGCCATTTTTACTAAGGGCAGATGATTACATCTCCCTTTGCTTCATGGAACTCTGGCACATGTGAAACACGTTAACTCTAACCTATCTATTGCCTGTGTTAATGCTCTGTTGTCCAGTTGGCTTAGTGGCATATGCTTTCTAAAAATGCATGAACCTACAAGTTTTTATTTACGGACTCTTGTGAGTATCAAATTTGCTTTTATATCAATTTAAAATAAAGAGCGGTATTACACTAAAAGAGGGTGCTGTTCTTGTTTTCTTTTTTTGCAAGTGCTTTGAGGTATCCCAACCTACAATTGAACAACAGCCCCGTTCTGTGAAAATATATGGGATTTTCCTCTGGGTCCTTGGAGAGTGAGGAAGTTCTACGGAAATGCTGAACAGTTTGGATAATATGCTATCTTCAGTGTTCTTCATGCCTGAGACAGAAAGGCCGCAAATTGGCCTGCTTGCTGAGTGTTCTTCATGACCGAGACAAAAAGGATACACTGAGCCTAAGCGCTTAGCAAAGTATTTCCTTCCATTTCCAATGCTAAAATGAACATTTCAGCTGTATTCTGCAGTTAGGCTAAGATGGTGTCTAGTAGAGGATTTTAACATAGATGCTGGGTGCACCACCTGCATATGAGTCCGTAGGGTCTCAAACGAAAATTCATAGCTTCCAGTGATAGGAAAACACTACATGGAAACTACCTCAAACCTCACTTTTTGTAATGAAGAGCTTTGTGACCTATATTTGGTTTATTGCTTTTATTAATATTAACGCTCAGGGAGGTCCTCATTACCAATCCATGCAAACCTTCAAAGGGAAAAAAATTGTAACTTGATAACCTTGTAATAGGGTCAAAACTATTTTTACAATAGGTCAAATGACCAATACAAATGATGTACAAGCAGTTTTCAGTTAAAATGTTTGGTTGGAAATTAATGCTGATCATCATCATAGTGCTTGAGAATTGGAAGATAGCATTTTTTAATGAAATATTTGTGCTCAAAATGAGCTGCAACAAATCAGTTATTTAGAAAGCCCTCTTGACGTTTATCCCTTCAAACCCAGATTTGTTAAATCTGCTGCATACCAACCTCTTTTAGAGCTTTTAACAAAAGAATTGTTTTCCTCTAGTGATTGCCCCAAGCTCTTCCAGACTGTACAATCCTTCTTCTGCAGTGCCAGTTCCACTTTCCCGGCATTCCCTGAAGCATTAACTGGATATAAAGCACATTAGTATTATCAAACATGGCAACATCTATAAAGGGTAAGTCATAGTCATAAGTCATATACAGAGGAGGAAAACTAGTACATGTTACACACACATATATATATATATATATACACACACACACTGAGTGGCCAGATTATTATGACCACCCCATCAGTACTTCGTTGAGCCACGAGATGACTTAGTTGGGCCGCCTCGTGACTCCACGAGATGTTGAAAGGTGATGCGAGGTATCTGACACTGCACTGTTGCTCTTCTGTTGTCTTGTACCAGTCTTGCCACTCTCCGTTCTGCCCTAACATTGACTACTCGCTGACGGCCACAATTCACACGTTCAGACCCAGATTTTCGGCTGACAGTCCAGTCTTTAAACACTTTAACAACAGCTGCTCTTGAACATTTAACGAATTCTGCTGTTTTGCTGATACTCGCTCCATGGCTCTGAGCGAGAAGGTCCACATCCATGGTCATAGAAATGTCAATGTAATAATATCATAGCTATTATTCTGGATTTAAAGGGGTTTTCCACTTTCAATAAAACCTTTAGAAACATATTTGCACCCTTGCCAACTTTCTGAGATAAGAAAGCGGGAGATGCTTAAAAGAAATATAACGACTTTTAGGCTCCATTCACACCTAGACATCAGCGGTTTTGCGCAGGTTAGTCTGTGTTTTCGTCTAGTGTGTTTAGCACGTTTTTGTCCCATTTGAAATTTTTTGCATGTGTTAGACACACGCTCATGAAGACGCACATTTTAGCAGGCAGATTGGAAGACATTGCAGCCAATGGACAAGCGCGCGCAAAAACACGCACAGAAATGTGAAAAATGCTTGTATTGCACGTTTCCAAGTGTTTCCATTGAAGTCTATGGTGCCAAACGTGCTATAATCTGCCAAAAAAAAGCTCATATACTTGTTCCAGCATTTGGTGTTTTACAGCCTGCGACAAAACACTCAGGTGTGAATAGGGGCCATTGAGAATTTTGCTGCGCCTAGCTTTGAGCGTCAAAACACCTAGGTGTGAACAGGGACTTAGATTACTTAAAGTGACATTAAACCCTCAGATTTTTTTACATAAACCAATACTGTAATGTGTGCCTTACTGTAATCCATGGTAGTTTCCCTTCTCTTTGCTGCTCTTCCTTTTAAATCCTCATGTCTTCTCATGCTGGGGGAGAACTTCCCTTTGCAGCTGAGTGCCTCTTCCTGTAGTGCTGGCTCAGGTTGTGAACCTGCACACAGACACCATGTATCCATTCCAGAGACAAGGCAGTCTGCTGCAAAACAGAAGTTCTGCCCAGCATGAGAAGAGATACGGATTTAAAAGGAAGAGCAGCAAAGAGAAGGGAAACAACCTTGAGCTGCAACAAATCAGTTATTTAGAAAGCCCTCTTGACGTTTATCCCTTCAAACCCAGATTTGTTAAATCTGCTGCATACCAACCTCTTTTAGAGCTTTTAACAAAAGAATTGTTTTCCTCTAGTGATTGCCCCAAGCTCTTCCAGACTGTACAATCCTTCTTCTGCAGTGCCAGTTCCACTTTCCCGGCATTCCCTGAAGCATTAACTGGATATAAAGCACATTAGTATTATCAAACATGGCAACATCTATAAAGGGTAAGTCATAGTCATAAGTCATATACAGAGGAGGAAAACTAGTACATGTTACACACACATATATATATATATATATACACACACACACTGAGTGGCCAGATTATTATGACCACCCCATCAGTACTTCGTTGAGCCACGAGATGACTTAGTTGGGCCGCCTCGTGACTCCACGAGATGTTGAAAGGTGATGCGAGGTATCTGACACTGCACTGTTGCTCTTCTGTTGTCTTGTACCAGTCTTGCCACTCTCCGTTCTGCCCTAACATTGACTACTCGCTGACGGCCACAATTCACACGTTCAGACCCAGATTTTCGGCTGACAGTCCAGTCTTTAAACACTTTAACAACAGCTGCTCTTGAACATTTAACGAATTCTGCTGTTTTGCTGATACTCGCTCCATGGCTCTGAGCGAGAAGGTCCACATCCATGGTCATAGAAATGTCAATGTAATAATATCATAGCTATTATTCTGGATTTAAAGGGGTTTTCCACTTTCAATAAAACCTTTAGAAACATATTTGCACCCTTGCCAACTTTCTGAGATAAGAAAGCGGGAGATGCTTAAAAGAAATATAACGACTTTTAGGCTCCATTCACACCTAGACATCAGCGGTTTTGCGCATGTTAGTCTGTGTTTTCGTCTAGTGTGTTTAGCACGTTTTTGTACCATTTGAAATTTTTTGCATGTGTTAGACACACGCTCATGAAGACGCACATTTTAGCAGGCAGATTGGAAGACATTGCAGCCAATGGACAAGCGCGCGCAAAAACACGCACAGAAATGTGAAAAATGCTTGTATTGCACGTTTCCAAGTGTTTCCATTGAAGTCTATGGTGCCAAACGTGCTATAATCTGCCAAAAAAAAGCTCATATACTTGTTCCAGCATTTGGTGTTTTACAGCCTGCGACAAAACACTCAGGTGTGAATAGGGGCCATTGAGAATTTTGCTGCGCCTAGCTTTGAGCGTCAAAACACCTAGGTGTGAACAGGGACTTAGATTACTTAAAGTGACATTAAACCCTCAGATTTTTTTACATAAACCAATACTGTAATGTGTGCCTTACTGTAATCCATGGTAGTTTCCCTTCTCTTTGCTGCTCTTCCTTTTAAATCCTCATGTCTTCTCATGCTGGGGGAGAACTTCCCTTTGCAGCTGAGTGCCTCTTCCTGTAGTGCTGGCTCAGGTTGTGAACCTGCACACAGACACCATGTATCCATTCCAGAGACAAGGCAGTCTGCTGCAAAACAGAAGTTCTGCCCAGCATGTGAAGAGATACGGATTTAAAAGGAAGAGCAGCAAAGAGAAGGGAAACAACCATGGATTACAGTAAGGCACACATTACAGTATTGTTTTATGTTAAAAAATCTGAGGGTTTAATGTCACTTTAAGCACTGTGTACAATTGATCCCCATGTAGGACAGTGGGGAAAACCTATTCCCACCTCCTGTGTTTTGGTCATGAGATTTTATCGTCTCATATACTTTTCCTTGCTCTGAGGGGCCACTCTGCAGTTTCTTAAGTTCCAAACCGAGTTTGTCTGGCTCCTTCCCCTATGATAAGACCACATTTGGTCAGCTGACTAGTGAACTGTTAATGGCTGCAGCCTGGAGCTCTATCTGGACCAGGAACAATATATAGGTGAGGCTGGATCATGTGCGCAACTTAGAGGAGGGGGGCCAGACTACCAAAGTGGACAGCAGTGAGGAGGATGGGGCAAGCAGGTGTATAACAGATTGTCCAACTCCTTTTATTTCTGATTATTGTAGGGACGGATGGTGCAGACAATTGCCAGTGTCACAGCTATTGCCACAGCAAAGAGTGGCTTGAAGAGGTTCCATGATAATATTTATTTTAAAGGGTCCCCATCTAAGCCACACCCAGCACCTTTACTGCAATACGGGATTTGTTACATCTCCAAATGCAACAATATATCAATTATTTATATTTCCTGGCTCTGACAAAGCAGATAATATAGAAATTAGCATTGCTTTGATTCCTGACAAATGTATTATCTGTCCATGTGTCTAACTACTTTATGGTCTGTGTTAGCATGTGGGTAAAAGGACAGCAGACTATGTACGGTGTATACAATATATAGACTCAGACTCTAACCATACTCCTTTAAGCTATGCCCATTATTCAGATCTATTTTGCCATGCCAATTTTCGCAGTGATGTGATCTGGGTGCCACATGCCTTGTCCATCTTAAGTTCCAAAGTTGGCAGGTATGGCTACTTGTAGTCACCATTGGAAACCTGGGTCACCACGCAGAAGCACAGAAAGTGCCAGAACAAGGACATTCACCAGGTGCAATTTAACTCACATTAAGCTTGCTTACAGAGTTTTTCAAACAAAGTGGCTTGAGTTCAAACACAGGTGTTTAAACAAAAGGAGTCTTCAACCGTTAAGTATCATCCTAAAGTTCATGTGCTAGTAAGCTTGGAGGTTTTGCTTAGTACACAGTGTGTCACATGTATACAAAACAGGGTGACAGCTCCAGGATGAATACCGCTGTGACAGTTGTGAGCAGTTTGCCCTACATTAGAGATTTTGACAAGTGAATTGCAACACTGGGGAGACTTGACCACCTTGAGAGGAGTCTTCTGCGCACTGAGCAGGCAGTTAATAGGGTTCATGCGGAGAGATAAGTGAGGATGATCAGGTAGGAAGCTGGGTTACTGTAGCTACAGAGAATGGAAGGGACTCACAGAAAATGAAGACCAGTCCTGTGTTTGAGCACCCAAACACATTTGTCAAGTTGAGTGAAGATTTACAGGTGGCAAACCCAGGAGGTGGCAGCCCTAGATGTCAATGCTACCCCTAACATGCAATACATCAGATCCCACCACATAAACCTCTATGATCCGTCTGTAGGGGTGGGTGCTTGGCTAAACTCCAACTGAACTTTCAAGCCGGTTTACTGCAGTACCATATAAAAGAAAAAAACAAAAACACCAACAATTCAAGGGTACACAGACCCTCTTTTTCAAAGTGACAAACATATGTATAACCACTACAATATTGGAGTATATATACACTGGCATACTAGCATGCATATCTTAAACAGGTGTTATCAGCCTGATCAATTGTGAACCAGTGTGCTGCGCTTGGTATTGTGATACGTGCTATATTTATACCACAAACGAAACCAATATAAGTGATCAAATCCTACTTGCAACTAAATGCAATCCAAAGGTGCATATGTGCATGAACGTTAATAAATACACGTGTCATATAAATATGGTGAAGGTACGAATATAAAACTGATTGGTTAAATATGATTTATCAGCCTGTCTCACATGTATGCTAGTATGCCAGTGTATATATACTCCCACATTTTAGTGGTTATACATATGTTTGTCACTTTGAAAAATAGCAGTGTATATGGGGAACAGCATCGAACAATCCCAACATATGGTATGCTGGTACTTTAACCCTAAAATTACACTACACCCTACAGACAGCTCCTCCTAAATGTAAGTGGTGTTGGTAGATTGTGTAAGAAATTGCATAGTTATGTTTTCCTCCTGAAACCACATTGTAGAATATTCAGCTCTGTTTGAAGCTTTTACAGGCCTATCCAGTTTTGAGAAGAAGGGGGGGGCTATCATTTTAAGTGGAAGATAATTTTTTTGTTTTGTTTTGGATTTTTTTTTTTAGATAAAATCAGCATTTTTTTTTTTGTACAGGCAGGATTCTTGCTGAGATGAAGTAACACTTGTGCCAATGTATGGGGGTTATGTCATTGGGTCTGGCCAATCAAGCAATTAAAGACTCAGAACCCTAAAGAAGACTGGTACGAAGATGAAATCACCACTGGGGTGGGTCCTGGACCAGGCAATATTGATCATATGCAGCATAAACTGCAGCAAGATAACAGAATGGCAGGTAACAGTTCACAATAATGTATGTAAACTCAGCATTTAGCTGCTTGCCTAAATCAGTTCAACCCTAACAATGAAGTAAGGTCAGATTCACACAGTTGCACTGCCATAACATGCATTGGTGCACATTTATTTTGAATTGCACCCTAACATACCATTGCAGAGCACCACAACACATGGTAATGCACTACCATACGTTGTGATGTGCCGTGTTGCTAAAAGATAGTACATACACTTTTTTGGCATATTTTGGTGCGTTAGAGAGCCTGTTCAAATAAATAAGCTGCCTTAACACAACACACGTTAACATGCTACATACATGTGTTAACACACTGCACAGATGTTAACGATCCCTAAATGTCTGCTTTAAATTAATCACAATGAAATTCATCCTCTTTTTCCATATGGCTTCAGAGAATCAAATTGGATGTGTTATCTCACCTGTACACACTGCAATATACCCTCCGTACTCACTCAACGCAACACAGGGTAACAGTGAGAGAGCCACATTGAAGAGCCATGGGCGCCAATCTTGTAGTGTGCTTTGCTCATTTATATCGGTTGCATTTTACTTTTAAGACCACCATCAAGATTAATCAATTTCTATAGGACACTACTTCCCTATATTGTGATGATCAATTTACACATGCAAATGTGTAAAAACTACATTACCCATATGACTATTCCAAACATAAAAGAGGTCCAAGGCTACTTGTTTTATTTATTTGACAAAAGCAGTATGTTAAACTGCATTTATGTTTGGTTTTGTTTTAACATTCAGCAAACATAAGTATTTTTAGAGAATCATATGCACAAGTCCATATATTACATTCAAACACAAAGTAACAATTACGAAAGCCTTCAAAAGATCACACATAAAACTGAAGAATGTTTTTCTTTTCTGTTTATAAGAAAACCTGCTACTTAAGGTTTAATTCTATCATTAGAATGTCATTGTTAAACATATAATTTGTCTTACCTTGAATAGCTTGCACTGCGTGTTCCAACTCTAGAAAAAAAAGAAAAATATGTTTGGAAAAGTTTGCAGTTTAATTAAGGAAAATTAATGGGGACTATTCTTACTGCCAGAGATATGAAAAATGACAGCATATGGACTTTTAAATGCAGCAATGTGGCTATTGTATCTAAAACTGCCTAGCTGGATTTCAAGTAAAGTAATCTGATTACAACTCCAAAACCAGACAACATATTATTACATTATATTTTTTTTATTGCTGTATGTGATACCTTTAGGGAGATTTTACCTCACTTCATTTGGTAACACCATGACAAGAAATAAAAAGTGTTCCATTGAACTCAAAATCTTATTCACCTTTTTGCAAAGTCAGCTGGTCCCCTGAGTACTGGCCCTGATATCCTGTTTTAGGGTGGTTCCTTTCCCATGCAGAGTTCTATGGAGCCACCCTTGTGTGTGATAGTAAGCTGTGAGTCTTTTCTTGGAGAAAACACCATTGATATCGTCAACTCATCTGCAAGAGCTATACTGTGGTCAGACACAGCAAAGAAGGCTTTATGGACATGTCCACGAGTAGCAAACTCCAACTCTGCTTGTTTCAGGGGATAGTCAGCACAGAGTTTAGCCCAGAAATAGATCTGTTTGCATCACCAGTCAGTGCAAAGCTTCCAGATTCTATACCAGATTCCCTGGCCATAACCGCACAATGTCAATTTTAGATTGCCTGTGCTTTTGACCTCTAACCGCCACGCACCTGAAAAGAGTTTCTCAGGAGACAGTGGTAATTATAAAAAAACACAACACACGGTGAGCTCACCAGGAAGGTGACCACAAAGCCCAAGGCCCCACCAAAGAGTTAATAAACAAAAAGAGTCACCGGTTTAAACTGAATACAAGTCAAAGAGGCAATTTAGAAATGACTTACACAATCCACAGAAATCTTTAAGCTTTGTAAACTCTACATAAGGGAAACGCTGACAATAAAGAAGTGAAACAGGAAGCACAATAGACTAGACATTTATTAATAATAAAATAAAAAGAATTGCACTCACAAATTATGTTTTGGGCCAATCACCGGGGCTATATCTGTAGCAATACATAATTGTATGCATTCCATACTCTCCCACTGGTAGCCAGCATTTGAGGATGTGTAATCCAGATTGTAACCCAGGCAACTATTCCAACACAGCGCTAACAAAGCTGAAAACACAGAAAAAACCTCCCCCTCTGTAGACCCACCATCTAAGATGCCTCAGAGTGGTGGTGCTATCCTAGTTGTCCAAATTTAAACCCCCATCCTGTGGTAACCCTGCCTACACACACTACATGTTAGTCTACAAGCTCCAGGAGACACTTCCCTGATAACAACAGCATCAAAGACTTTGTTTACCAAACTATATGCACACCAAGTTCTGCCCAAGTTCACACCCGATTGTCTCACATGGTGTGAACGTACCCTAACTGATTTGCTGGTGCTTTAGGTTTCATAGTTACATGATTTCTTACCCTAAATAAACTCAGGGACATCAGACCCCTCTCATCTTTCTTCACTGTACTTTCCAAGACCATTTATGTACACAGTCAACATACTCTCTCACATCCCCTTCTCACACACAAGTCCTTTGATGCTGCTGAGACAGGGATCACAACATAAACTGAACTTTACTGGGAGATTCTCCAATATCTTCCTTTTTATAAGCAATGGTTTCTTCGGCTGACTCAGAAGTCAGAATTTTCCCCAAAACAACAATATTGAAATATCGTAACAAAGTAGCAGGAAGTCTAACATCTTCCCTGCACATCTCTGTGCAGCAGGCTTGGCTATCCAGCTTATTTTCTTGTCAACAACTGACTCTTTAGTGGGAGCAGCCCCACTCAAGTCAGGGGGAATGCTAGAAAAGATTGAAAGGGAACGCTAGAAAAGATTCTTCAGCAAGTAAAAATCAAGTAGTTTTACATTTTAAGTTGCTATGTAAATGGGAAAAAATGGAAATATAACAAATATAAAGTAGGTGTTATCCCCATTTGGATGCAATAGTTGAAATACCCATGCTCTGAACAACATAAACGTGCTTCTTCTGATGTTCTGCTGTCAGAGTAATCTAGGAAACAGGTTCCTTGCTGTTCTCTCTCTGCCGAAGTAACCAGCAATTTCGAATATAAGACAGTACTTGAAGATCTATTCCAGGTAAGCTATAGCAAAATCAATGAGCTTTAAGCAGTTTTTTTTTTAACACTTTCTTTCAAAAGTAAAATGTTTTCAGCTATATTTTCTTGCGGTCAAATGTTCTTCAAATATTATGGGCAGTAGTAAAACTAGTTTAATTCATAACAACACACAGTTAATCAGGAAAATACTGCATTATGGTCGCTAGATGGAGTGGAGGATCATAAGAAATCTATACAGGTGAAACTCGAATAATTAGAATATCGTGCAAAGTTCATTTATTTCACTAATGCAACTTAAAAGGTGAAACTAATATATGAGATAGACTCATTACATGCAAAGCAAGATAATTCAAGCTGTGATTTGTCATAATTGTGATGATTATGGCTTACAGCTCATGAAAACCCCAAGAACCCCAAATCCACAACCTCAAAAAAGTAGATTATTACATGCAATCAATAAAACAAGGATTGTACATAGAACAATATCGGACCTCTGAAAAGTACAAGCATGCATTTGTACTCAGTACTTGGTTTGGGCCCCTTTTGTAGCACTTCCTGCAATTACTTTTGCACGATATTCTAATTATTCGAGTTTCACCTGTACATCTTAGTAGGGGTTGACCGACATGGATTTTTCAGAAACAATACCGATTATGGGCCTAACCAACAAATCTCCCTCCCACATGCACTCTCTCTCTCTGTTGAAGTAACCAGCAATTTCTAATAAAAGACAGTATCTGAAGAACTATTTCAAGTAAGCAACATCAATGAGCTTTATGCATTATTTCTAGCATTGGTTTCCTTTTTTTTTTCCGATGCTGCAGAATCTCCAGCCCAGAGAATTGTATTTGAGATGCAGTTCCACAGCTAAATCATCAGTCCCTTACATCCCTTTAAGTAGGCTGTTTTATTTTTATTACCTTGTCTGCATCCAGAAAGCACCATACTGTTCATGACCACCATTTTTATAACAGGTAAAGAGAGATGGAGCATTCACACTAAGGGGTCTATTTATAAAACAAATCTATTTGTAAAACAATTTGCATACATATTTGTTGAGCGAAAATGCACGTACATTTGTTCTGTTAGAATTAACCAGCTGTTGTGAGAGTGGGGCAAAAATAAATGTTTTATGTTATTTTCTCTTCTGGTCAAATAATATAGGCAGTAGTAAATATAGGTTAATTTATAGGAACACAGAGTGGATCAGGAAAATACTGCATTATAACCACTAGTTGGAGCTGAGAATCATAGGAAATATATACAATTTAATGACAAAAGTTGCAATGTAACAATTCTAAAGACTATTGGAGTGAATTAGCAAATAAGCCCTCATTCACACCTACCAAGTAGCTGTGATTTGTTATTTCTGCGGCAGGAACTTGTGATTTCCTGCAGCAGGAATTTCAAATCTTCCGTTTTATAAGTGGCAGTTGTCACCCATTCAAGTTGTTGATCCTGTGATAGCAACTGCACCTGAAACCGGCAGAATGCTGGCACACCGCATGTAAATCATATGTGATACCATTACATGGAGTTAGGAAGTGATCACTATCCCTGGACGCACAATGCATGCATCCATCCAGTAACAGTGATCTATCACATACGGTGCATTTTGCCGCCTTCACACAATCATTAACTTAAATGGGTAACAGCTGCTGCTTGTAAACAGAAGATTTGGAATTCCTGGTGTATGAAATCACAAGTTCCTGCCACAGGAATTCCAATTCACACCTACTTGGTAGATATGAGTGAGGCCTAAATTATACCACTGCTATTATGTGGAAGTATGTAGTAGCAATGGCAATATTTATTTGCCATTTCCCTACACAGACTGTCTGCATCCGTGTGAGTTGTACATCTGTGCACCTGCGTGGGTGTACAGAAACACCGTCTTGGGCGTTTGCCTAAAGACATGTACAGCCATTAACTTATATAGGAGGCTATACACATACACCTGTGGCTCCCTAGTGGGGAAATATGCCGCTATTTACGCTTGACAAGTGTGGACCCCCGTGTGCCAGAGCCCTATTTGGAAATATTCTCTGAACAATCTAAGTACTTTCTCTCCAACCTTGCTCCATCAAGGGGTAACTTTTTAACTTGACACCGTGCTCCCCCAAGATCTGGGGGAACCATCTAGTGATTACATGGCAATCTCTATCAGTCCTTAGAGCATATGATGTCAGCTTCTGTACAGCCACTACACAGCCAACAAATCTCCCTTCCACATGCACCCTCTAGCTTGATTGGAGCAGAGCTCACCAACAACGAAAGAGAATAGCCTGTTGCAATACACTGCTTGAGGGAGACGCATTTCTCCTTAAAGCTCCCCTAACAAGCACAAATGAGTACATACTAATTTAATCTGTTTCCTGGTATAAAATAATACAATGAAACATACCGAGAATCTGTATTTATGCTGGTATACATTTGGTAATACAGAGGACTAGGCATACAAACAGCTATAGATTAGCAATTCAAAATAAATGTGTGCTCGTGTTGATATAATAATTGCTCAATATGCAAAAATGTATGTACGCCAATGGAATTACAAAATCCTTATTAAAGAAAGGCTGTGGATTCTATAAAAACAATGCTCCATTATCTATTTCCACCATCCACCTTGTGATCAGATGCAAATGTAAAAAAGCCTTGCATAAACAATTTGCCAGTATTATCATTTATTTATTAACTAGGTATAAAAAAAAATCCATAAATATACACTAAACCGCATATAGTTTAATAGCACTTTTATTGGCAGCACAGAGTTGATGCAAACACAAATTAAAGTATATCTGAAGCCAAAACAGTTTTTTTTAGTTTTAGATAGAGGTTGTTTCCATCTCTTTTTTTCATGCTGT